TTACGAAAGAGGGTGTCGATGAAGAGAATCGATGAATGTAGATAGGACCTATTGAAAAGTGACGCGAGATTTGTTTTCCGTACTGAGCTCCAATGCTACCGACGCCAGGGAGGCAGCTACCACACCTGGACCCTACCAATCGACCCATCAACTCAACCGGGGACCAACGCCTTTACTTCCCAAAGGAAGGCGTGATCAGAGATGTTATGCCTTAGAACATGCCGGTGGCGCCAATTGTGTGGGGTGGGGTGAGAGTTAATCACGCTAACCACCGGCCCCGATATCTTTCAAGGTGATATCACGGCGAATGAGATCGACCCAAATTTGAGTTTAGTTATCTCAGAAATAAGAAATAAAGTGTAGGAACTCAGCCAGGGTTACTTCCACTCACTTGCTATAAAAAATTGTGTTTCCGAATTATGAAAACATTAGATGTTATAATGATAATTAGTACTTGTAAGTTACAAGAAGAAGTCGTGAAGTATGTATGTATGTACACATTAAATCTGTCAATATTGCTTGCGTAGCCATATTTCTGATCGATTGATGATAAAATTATTGAAATTGAACCAGGGGCAGCTGAGTTATTAACGTTCAAAATATTTCTTAATTTGTTACATGTTCCATTTTCGGTGTTCACAAAGTGTACCCCCATATAGAAATCAAAGACGTAGTCCTACGTCAAAAATGCGTGGACTTTATTTTGTCATCGCCGACGTTTCGGTTCTTGGTTTGAACCTGCTTCAGGGTTCGATAGAAATCAAAAGAGTCAAAGAATACAACTCCAGTATTGGTATGTTAGGTTCAAAAGGGTTTCAGCTCTATGGTTAGCGCATATCATATATTGCATGTGTTTAGGTTGTTACAGTTTCCATGATCATCCGGTTTCGCACTAGTGGTACAAAGATTGAAAATATAGTCGAAAGGTTGAGATACCTAGAGATATTGACGGTAGTTACTGTGTTTTATCTCTAGTTTGAAGTGGCTAAGACTAGCGTTCTGTTGTTCTTCTTCTCCTTATTCTTCGTCGTATTTTAAGCTTATTGCATGCTCTCAACTTAAAGTTCAAAATGCACTTTCCACAGTTATTAATTGAGAGGTTTCGATGTCAATTACCAACGCATTGAATTTGTATATTGTGTGGCAAGCACAACGATACTCTATGCCCAGGAATGTCGAGAAAATCTTCAACCCGCAAGAATTCCTCGACCGGAGCGGGAATCAAATCAGCAGCCTCCGGATTGGTAATACCGTGCCTAGGCATGGTCAATATCGGTATCATTGCTTAATTTTTTTGCTACGGAATCCGATTTTGCCTGACAAAAAGATGCGCTTTGACAAGTGCTCTAACTCATCGAAGGGTATAAATAGCGAGACCTTTCAATTATAATCGGTTCCATGCGGATCCAACTCTATCAAAACCGAATTCTCCATCATTTCTCAATAGTGATGGAGTAATACAACATGTATTGAACGAAGGATACGGGATCTACTGGTTACTAGTCGCAGTGGATTTATGACCCATGCCGAGGAAAAAACGCATGATCTTCTTCTCAGTATGCAAAAAGGTTATCACTAGGTCACCGAGCCCCTCATGTCATGTATATAATTAATGTGATTGCGAAAAGCTGATTAGATTCAGCGTAAAAATTCGATCTCTTATCATAATACAATACAATTAATACAAAAATAGCCCGTTCGAGAACATTATTCTTCTTCTTGTTGGCTTTATTACATCCCTACTGGAACTTTACGCCAGCCCTCAACAAAGTGTTCTTTGGACAATTCCACAATTATCAATTGAGTGCTTTCTAAGCCTGTAGCCATTAAGCATTATTGGAAGTCGAGAAGTATTCAACCCGAAAAATTCCTAGACCAGACCGGGAATCAAACTCAGCCGCCTCCAGCATGGTCTTGCTTCATAGCTGCGCCTTTACCGACTTAGCTAAGGAAGGCCCCTTACGTGAACATGAACATTATTTAAAACATGTACTACAACGGGTTACATCTACTGATATCTAGGAAATTTTAACAATTTCAAACTAATGTCGATCATATTCCAAAAATTCCAGCTGAATAGGAATAAATTCAAAATCTTTTTTTTTGCGGAAACCTTGTTTGCAACATGTTTTATCTTTAAATTTCCAGGATTTTGTTATTAATAAATAATTTTAATGACCAGGATGCACCGAAAAATTATGATCCCGGAGGTATTGAAGTTTTCATAATTTTGAATTTCGTATTATTTTATGATCCCAGGAAAATCTAATCTTATATGCGACTGAATGAAACATTGATGTAATGGATAAAACGTATTCAAACAAGTCATGTATGAATAAGTTTTTGGAAAAAGGTCTATTTTTTGTTAAACTATCAGGATTTTAAGCTAACATATCCGTCGATATACTCACCGCTATTATTTGACTGTTTTCTAATGAATTGAACTGTTTTTTTTTCTTGCGGGTGATTACTACGACAGCAGAATTATATTGTGGCCATTGAATATTTTTCTGTTTCGATGATATGTCGCTCGGATCTCTTAATATGAAGTCTAGGGGATGTTTTCAAGAATTTCCCTAGAATAATTCCCCTGCTCAAAGTTCTCCTAACATTATCATGAGAAGCTCTCTGGTATTGCGTTGAAATTTTTCATCAACATTCTATAAAGTCTATGCAGAGCACTCTTGAAAATCATTCAAAGATTCTTTTCGAATTCTTAATTACTGACATGATTCCACTAAAAATTCGACGGAATTGGAAAGCCCTGGAAATTCACTTCAGAAATGTCACGAAATTCTGCTCTAAAATAGCTTTCAGTAGTTCCGTAAACTATTTCAGAATTTTTATATTCTTGACTGATGATATGCAGCTAATATAAAATGAATGAGTGTGCACTAAATTTTTTTCTTAAGCAAATTCAAAAATCACAAAAATCACAATTGAGTGTACTGATTGTGCCATGCTTATTAATTGCCCAGATAAACGAGCATTTGAAACACTTCTAATAATGTCAAGGAAATTTAAATTATTCAACGCACCACATTTTAAAGAATTTTCAAGATTATTACGAAAACGTTTATATTTTCAAGCACCGCTTTCGCATCGTATGCAACTATATTGCTGGGAAAAGCCCAATGCATTTGCTTCGTGCACATGCACACGACAGGAATATGCAAGCGTTTGCGTCCCGAATGTCAAAAATGTCTTTCATGCATAGCATTCTACCTCTTCTGCAGTGGTGGTGCTGCTGCAGCAACACGAATATGCATTTCAATCCCCCCAACTGAATATTCCACGCTTTCACATATCTTCTACGATCCTTCACTTTCACACCATCCAGCTTCCCAGATTCATCGGCTGCTGGGGCAACAGTCGCCGTCGACACATTACAGAAATGTTGTACATGAATTTATGGCACTTGGCTGGACTCTGCGGGGCCCTTTTTGGAAATTTGGTTCTGTGGAAATCGCTTTACCGGATTCCCTCGGCCCTGCTGCTGGTAGAACGAACAACAATCGGACACAGTCTATTTGTCAAGGGCAAATATTGGAAGTCATCCGTCCGGCTGAATCCGACTCCGAACAGGACATGCGGGGAAGGTTTGGCAACAACCATTTGTGTGTGGGTGGCAATTGTCTGATGACTGCTGACCAGTCAAACAACCCCGGCTTCTCTCATTTTTCCGACCCCGTTCTGTGGCCATAGGTATCGACTGGGGAAAATTTCTGTTTGATGTAATCGGAGTCAAATTGTTCGATGTAATCGAGTGGTGAAACTTTGCTGTAAACGGATTCATTGGACAAATGAGTTTTTGAGCCAGGGGAAAATGGGGTTAAAGACTTTTGCACGAGAAAAACTTGTGCTAGGGATTAAATTACGTGCGGTATATGTGTAGGGCTTGATTGAATTCGTTCAACTTGTTTACCGTGTTACACAACTTATGTTGAATTCATGAATATTTCCCTGCTCCTAATTAAGTGGAAGTTTCTACCACTCACTCAAACCATAATTTGATTGGAAGTTGGGCTTCCTCACTGTGGACTTGCAAATTTATAACGACACTCAATTTTTTTTTTACCCACGAAAAGTTTCCAAGTTTCAGTTGGTTTTCGGTTTTCTCCTGTAAACGAACGGCCACAGTGTGAGGTACGCGATGGTGGGAGCAAAAGTCATAACAATCAAAAGTTTACTCCCTCTTACGTGGTGAGGTCGTCGTATGATGCCATTCATTGCCGTTCTCGATTGTCTTTTCCCGGAAAATGAGGTAGAAATAATACTAAAACGAAATATCGAAAGTAATTAAGAAAGGAACGTGATGATTTCCGAGCTCAATTCGTTACTATCGATCAGTGTTGTTGAGAGAGTGAGGGGGGCAGGTTGAATAGAAGGAGGGACGGTCCGAGTTCTAGGACAGTTGAATGCACGCTTTATCTGGCTATCTATTCGCTTTGTGTTTTTTCCTTTCCTTCGATATAGTTAGTCGTCGTCGGGTGGAATGCGATGGGTGGTTTGAAAAATGGAACCTTTTAGACAGTAATTAAAAACGGAAAGTAATTGGAAACGAATAACGCTTCTTCTAGAGTGTGCCGTTTGGGGTTTTTTTTTTTCATAACAAGGGAAAAACCACACCGAAATTGAATTAGAGCGAAAGACAGATAGAGCATGGAACAACAAAAAACAAATTGAAATAGAGCAATTAACAAAACAAAAAAGAAGAGCGTTTGTTTCGTTGGCTGGTCTGCTGGTTTCGGTGAAGAAAACTCACAGAAATATATATGTATAGTGATAAAGAGAGTAATAATAAACATCGACACATAAACAATGAACGACCGGACGACGACGCGTAACAGAAAGATAAAAATAAAAATATATATGTATAGAACGAGGAAAACACAGCTCTATTGCAGCTATATAAAATATATATAGGTATATATATATACGAAAATTGGGTGCAAAAGACTAGTATTAGCTAGTGTAATGGAAGGGAAGCTTGCACTTACCGACACCTGGATAGGGTTGGATGCCGGGATACGCCGCGTGCGGTAGAGCAGCGTCCCCATTTGGAAGTCCTTGGGCCGGTATCGACAGGTGGAGTGCATCTACGTAAATGGCTAAATCAATACATTACTGTGATTTTAGCGGATCAAATAAACATTTCGAGAAGTCCATCGGAATGGACGACCGATGACTACTTACGCCCTGGGTAGCTTTGAGGGATTCCGTTCGTGTAGACCGCTTCGGAGCCGGCCGGTTGCCCGTTCGGCGTTTGTGCTGCCATGTTAAAGGTCGGCATCGTTGGCGATGGTAGCGATGGGATGGCACCGTTCACGGGTTGTCCTGAACCTGTGGGTTTGATCGAAAGAGTCTGGATTAGTTTGGGGTTTATTTGGCGATCATACGTTTGTTTTTGGGATCTCTGATTGACTGAACGCTTTAATCGACTGGTTATAATGCTGATCACCGTTTTGATCATATGCTCTACCCCTCGATTGGTTTCGTTTTGCCTTTCTCGTATACCTAGGTATAGCGGAAGGCAATAATATCACGTGAAAAAAAAAACATATATGTGATCTTAGGCCCGGATGATCGAGTGTCATATACCAATCGGTAATCCAGCTCCACGAGATCGAAAAATTTAAGCAAAAATTTGCGTATGTGTGTAACTCAGTTACCTTTCTCGGAGAATGTTTGATGATTTCAAATGTAACTAAGGACTGTTCACTTTATCAAATGGAAACCAAAAAAAACCCGTAACTTTAAAATTTTACGTTGTATTCGAATTCTTTATTCTAGATATTTGAAAATTGTGATCCAAACAAAATTATGCAATGCTTCACTTATGCTATTGATTCTATATAAGTGTTTAATTTCTTTGAAATTAAAATTTTGAAAAATCGAATGTATACTTTGTTCTACAAAATGAATATATTGTTATATTATTGTTGGTGGGTATCATTATTGAGCATTGAAAAAAAAACATATTTGGCTAGATACAAATTTAAAATTCACCCAGGTGTTCCAGCTGAATAGATATAAGTTTGAAATATGTTGTTAATGGCATTTTAGAGCAAGCGTAACATAAAGTATTGTCAAAATTACGTGCTACATCAAATGCATTGTTCATAAAATTGGCTATGTTGCTAGGTAAGAGAGCTACATATTTGCCAAAGAAAGCATCCAGCTAAGTAGACGACACACACAAAAGTTGTGATTGAAAGTGTGTGTCCGTTTTATAAAGTGAACAGTCCTTAGTCCCATTTGGTTTGCATCTGACACCAACAAATATTTATTGAATTTTATCGGATCGGATAGTTAAATTAGACAAAAAACTTTTTTTTAAGCCAATTTTATTGAAGGTGGCTTAACTGGTTCTATTACAATCATGTTATCACAATCACAATTCGTTCCAGATATTTGAGTATAAAAGTGTCATTTAGTAATTAAACTGGGTTATTAACTCATTTTTCTCGGGATAGCTTGATCAATTGCAGTGAAACAGATCTATTTTGTATATTTTTGATTTTAATAAAACTCTATTTAACTTTTGGTTCCGGTTGATTGAACTTTTGGCTCAGGAGATTTGAACAAAATTGTAAAATTTCGCTTTTAACTCACTTTTCTCTGAAATAGTAGAACCGATTGGAGTGTAAGTGGTCTTATAGCGCTTGTATCTGATTCATATAGTGCTCTTTTGAATTTGGTTCCGGAGATATGATACAGTTAACAGTTTCCGAAGTTATTGTTGGAACAAGATCCATGAGTATATATCTTTATGTTGATACAAGAAAAGATACACAGCGTCTTAATTGATCAGTGGTGGTCATATCGAGTATGTACGAAGACCACACATGGACATGGTCCAGGTGCTTCTGATTATACTTGGCATGATTTTTTTATCTTTATTTAAAAGGTTTTCAGCCTAACCCGAGCAGAAACAAATAACTAAATAATACCTCATTCTGACCTGATACCAAAAAGAGCTAAACGTTTGTGATTATCTGATAAAAGTATTGGGTTTTCCCTGATTGACCCAAATTTGAAGAAGTAGTATAAAATATGGAAGCATAGTACTGAATGTAAAGTTGAAATTGCGTCCCTCTGTTTCTATTATTTGCTTTTGTGCCACATAGATCTATTTATGGTAAGATCACGAATATTTTACGGGCATCTGTCCGAAGTTTGGATATACTGGATCCTCGAGCAGGATAAAATAACCAATGAATACCTAATTCTGACCTGATACCAACATTTGGTATTCACCAGCATGACATAAGAGGTAAAATACCAAGGAATAATACCAAAAAATTGCATACCAAATACTTTCTAAATAACAAAAATTGATTTTTGGATACCAAAATAACACCTGTTTGGAATTGTTTTGGTATTGTTTCATCATAATTTGGTATTGGAATGGTATTGTGGGAACATTTTTTGGTATTATTTTTTGGTATTTTACATCTTATGTCGTCCATACCAATTTAAGGTATCGAGATATTCGTTCCTGCTCGGGAAAGGCTGGTTCGCCTCTGAGTTTGATTTTATTTGAAGCACCAAAAGTCGGAGGTAAGTAACGATCATTTCACACTTCGATATTAAAATGAGATCTACTTTTTTACTTAATCTAAATGTACTTTTTTCTAAGCTTGTACTAAGATGTCAATAATTGCGCGATTTGCGAACATTTCAAGGATGCTCCTGGGAATGTGAGCTATTGTGATTCAAAACCTATCATGTAAGTTTTCAGTGATGTCACTCTTCAAACATTTAGAAATGCAATACATTCATCAGTATTAAAGAAGAGTAAGTATACCAGTTGTGGCATTATACGATGGCACCAGTTATGACTCTACTCCACAACTAAAATTTTTGTTAGCAGTAGATCATCTTTTGCAATTGAATACAAATAATGATGCTTGATCACATTTGCTAGGACCAGTATGGCATTGTGGCCGAAATTGTCGTAAATTAATTATTTTATTAAAGCTAGGTGGAGATCAAAGTTTTCCTATAATACTCCTTAAATTATATAAAACCTCTCCAAAATCCTTACGTAGATAATGAACGGCCCCATTGTGAGTACTACAGAGAATGCCAAGGGGATTTTGAGGAGAATTCCTGGTGAATTTCAGGTAAAATTTCAATTGTATCCAGAGGAAAAAATCTTCAGTTGATTACAACGGAGAACTCCACCCGAGCAGGAACAAATAACTTATTAAGACCAATTTCAGGTATGAAAATAGCATAACTGGCAACCTTAATATGGTATTTATGAGGCTGACATAAGAGGTAAAATACAAAAAATAATACCTCAAAAATGTTCTTCGAATACCGAACTAATAAATAATTTAGTTATTTCAATAACAAACGGATAACAGACGCTTTTTTAGATGCCAGAATACCATAGTTAGTTATTTTGAAGGTCTTCTAATACCAATTGAATAACTCTTTTAGGTGTTATTGCCTAAAAACTGAAAGATCACATTTTGTTATTTTGGTATTCATTTGATATTTTACAAAATATTTCGATAACTGAACAATATCAAAACAAGGTTTTATACCACAAGCATACCGAAATCTGGTATCATTTCACATTAAGATATTCAGGGCATGGTAGTTCTGAGTTGAATTCGAAGGGAAGTCTTATGAACACTCGATGCAAATTGTGAAGAAAATTAAATAATAATATATATGATGAAAACTCCGAAATCTTTCAGATTTTGGGTTAAATTTGAGCAGAGATCTAATGGAATTTCAAGAAGAATTACAAGAATTACGAGAGGTTCTGGTAAAATCTAAGAAGAACTAAAATAGTTCTGAGTAGAATTTCATAAGAATCCCGTGGTCAAAATTGTCGGAAATTAATTCCTTAATTTAATTAAGTAAATTCCTGTGTTAAAAATTGTCGTAAATTAATTATTTTATTACTGCTAGGTGGATATCAAAGTTTCACTAAAATACTCTTTAAATCATATTCCTCTAAAACCTCTCCAAAATTCTTACGTAGATAATGAACGGCCCGATTGTGAGTGCTACAGAGAATGCCAAGGGGATTTTGAGGAGAATTCCTGTTGAACTTCAGGTAAAATTTCAATTGTATCCAGAGAAAAAAATCTTCACTTGATTACAACGGAGATCTCCAAGGTAGTTCTGAGTTAAATTCGAAGGGAAGTCTTATGAACACTCGATGCAAATTAATAAATTATTAATAAATAATAATATATATGATGAAAATTCTGAAATCCTTCAGGTTTTGGGTGGAATCTGAGTTCTAATGGAATTTTAAGGAGAATTGAAGGAAATTCAAATGAGATCTGACTACAACTTTAAAGGGAATTCAGTGGAGGATTCTAGAAAATTGTGACGAGAGGTTCTGGTATATACCAAGGAGAACTAGGATAGTTCTGAGTAGAATTTCATAAGAATCCTGATGAGAATTCAATGGAAATTTGGAATGGAAAATTTCAAGGGAAATCTGAATATTGTTTCCACAGAATTTCGAGAACTAAGCGATATGGAATCATAAATTCATAAGAATTTTAAGTGATCACGTAGGGAAACTAAGAAGAATTACAGTAGAATTTTTGTAAATTTCATATGCCGCCACACAAATGGGTGCCAGGTCTAACGGAATTGTGAGGAAATCTTCAACTTAATTCGAATATTTTAAAAAATTACAAGATTGTTTTGAGTAGAATTTCAAATCTCGAAGTGACCTAAGTGTTTTTGTAAACTGATAAATTCCTCGCGCATGCACACTAACACCCTCACGTTGGGGATCTCTCTGATGGCGGTATTAGAATGCGTGGGTTAGCCGTCAGTTTCGATAAATTGACGTTTACAGTAATTGTTTACTAAAGTTTAAGTATCGATTCTCAACCTGGGGTTCGAAAACCCACACGAAGCGAATAGTGCATGAAAAGAAGTAATGTTAAGCGAGCTTGACCGCACGGTGGGGGAAACGATGAGAATCGATGCTGTGGAGGATTCTAAGTAAATTGTTAGGAGAATTGAGAAAATTCTAAGGAGGATTTCATGTTAGTTTGAAGTTGAATTCTAAGAAAATTGTGAAGAGAATTTAATGTAAATTATGATGGTAATTCATATGAATTTTTATTAGGGTAATAAATGAGGATTCGATGGAACAATCAAATAAATTCTGTGGAGAGTTTCAAAGGTATTCTCAGGGCAATTTAAAAGGGATTCATAGTTAATAATTTCAAACTTATCTGGCGTTCCACCTGGGTCCTTTGTTATTTTCACTCTTCATCAACGAGCTTTCCCTCGTACTACCATCTGGCTGCCGTGTGTTTTACGCTGATGACGTCAACATATACATTTTTTTT